TGCTGGCTCATATTCCACTAGCACTCCAATATCCCTCTTGCAGTTACTACAGTTGAGCCAGGTACCACCTATTCTAGATTATTTGTTGTTGTTAGTTGCGAAGTCGTGTCCGACCCATCATGACCCCATGGACAACGTTCCTCCAGGCCTTCCTGTCCTCTACCATCCTCTGGAATCCATTTAAGCTCACGCCGACTGCTTCAGTGACTCCATCCAGCCACCTCATTCTCTGCCATCCCTTTCTTCTTTTGCCCTCAATGATTCCCAGCATTGGGCTCTTCTCCAGGGAGTCCTTCCTTCTCATTAAGTGTCTTTCCTTCCTTCCTTCCATTCTATATTATATGATCACCCTAATTCATAAATTAATTTCTCAAGATAAGATCTCATGATCATATAACCGTTCAAATAGATCTACAGGTAGTCCTCAACTTATGACCACAATTAAACCCAAAATTTATGTGGCTAAGCAAGACAGTTGTTAAATGAATTTATCATTAAGTCTGCTTAATCCTACAATGGGAAACCCATTTGTAACTGTGGGCAAAATTACAAGTTTAAAAAAAAAATTCAAGAGACGATAATTGTAAATATTTCCATGCTTTTACCCCAAACTTCACATGCATTTCCACATAGTCGACAGGAGTTGAGCGTTTTCTTTTCCAACCATGTTGCTTGGACGATCAAATGCAAATAAAATAGCCCTCAATTTACGACCACAATTGAGCCCAATGTTTATGTTGCTCAGTGAGAAAATTGTTACGTGAGTTTTGCCCCATTTTACAGCCTTTCTTTTCACAGTTGTTAAGTGAATCACTGCCGTTGTTAAGTTAGTAACATGGTTGTTAAATGAATCTGGCTTCCTCATTGACTTTGCTTCTCACAGGGTCACAAAATGTGATCCCATAATCCCGGGACACTGCAAACCATCATAAATATGACTCAGGTGTGAAGCATCCAAATGTAATTTGAAGTAAATTTGAAGTATTTGAAGTAAAATTCACATGACCATGGGAATACTGAAATGGTCATAAGTGTGAAAAATGGTCATAGGTCACTTTTTTCAGTGCCATTGTAACTTCGATTGGTCACTAAAAGCAAACTGTTGTAAGTCGAGGACTACCTGTAGACATATATGTCCATTATCCTCTGATGTTTGGTTTACAAAGGTATTCTGCTCCAAAATGAGAGCTGCATTTACTTGATTAAGAAGAACAACAGGTACAGATAGTCCTTGACTTACAACCAGGGGTGAAATCCAGCAGGTTCTGACAGATTCTAGAGAACCGGTAGCGGAAATTTTGAGCAGTTCAGAGAACTGGCAAATGCTACCTCTGGCTGGCCCCAGAGTGGGGTGGGAATGGAGATTTTGCAATATCCTTCCCCCAGGAGTGGGGAGGGAAGGGATGTGGATTTTGCAGTATCGTTTCCTTGGAGTGGGGTGGGAATGGAGATTTTGCAGTATCGTTCCCCTGCCACGCCTACCAAGCCACACCACACCCACCAAGCCACGCCCACAGAACTGGTAGTAAAAAAAATTAGATTTCACCACTGCTTACAACCATTCGTTTAGTGACCATTCTAAGTTACAACAGCAATGAAAAAAATGAGATGACTGTTTTTTCAGAGTTATAACTGTTGTAGCATCCCCATGGTCACATGAACAAAATTGAGACACTCGGCAACTGGCTTGTATTTATGACGGTTTCAGTGTTCTGGTGTCACGTGATCATCTTTTGCAAGCAAATTCCATGGGAAACCCAGATTCACTTTACAACCATTTTACTAGTTTATCAACCGAAGTGATTCACTTAACAACTGTTAAGTCACAAAATGGGGCAAGACCTCCTTAACAACTGTCTCGCTTAGCAACGGAAGGTTTGGGCTTAATTGTGACTATAACTCAAGGACTACCTACAGTGCATCCTCAAATATTTGAATTTAGTCTGTCCGGCTAAGTAATTCTTGTCAACTGAACTGGACAGATTTGGGTCTCAAGAGGTGGTTTTGGAGCACATTCATAGATCCAGTGAAACAAAAGAGATTTAGCATTCTTTCAAAGGTTACCACCAAATTTTTAATGTGCCAAAGGAGTATAATTATTAAGTACCTCAGAGAAGCATCTTGTTAATTGTATTTAATTAATTTGATTTGATGTAAATTAAATCAAACTTATCATGCTTGATTTTTGCAATAACTTGGCTCATTTTTTTTTGTCCTATCTGCCAGAGAGCAGCAATTTCTAGACTTAAAAAATATAAACATGTCCAAAACCCTCTGCGCATCCCATTTTTGCGAAAATAGGCCCCTTTTTAGCAAAAACAGGATGCGCAGAGAGTTTGGGAGGCCTGCAGAGTGCTCCTGGGGGCTGGGGAGGGCAAAAACTGTTTTTTCCCCTTGTTTTCCTCTTCAAAATCTTGATGTGTCTTATACTCCCGTGCCTTATAGTCCAAAAAATACGGTACCTGAAAACATTGTAATATCCTTGATTTCCACAGAACTGGAGGAAATGCAGATTCACCTTGAACATAGCTTGCTACTGCAGTCCCTTGAGGAAACGATTAGAATTAGATTGTTTTCCATTAAATCAGGATGCATCCCGTATTGTCTCTTGGGTGGTACTTCATATTCCCTAATTGTATTAAGTATTCTCTCCTTGGATATCCCAAAGGTGCTTTTCAAAAGGCAAATAGGCTTTCTTGGATTTTTTTTTTTTTTTTTGCCTTGCAAACGTTTTGCTGCTCATCCAAGAAGCTTATTCCATTCTGAAGAAATGAGAGAACTGAAGAAGCTTCTTGGATGAGAAGCGAAACGTCTTCAAGGGCAGAAAAAAGAAAGAAAGTCCAGTTGCCTTTTGAAAAACAGCTTTGGGACAAGCATGACCAGGATGATTGAGAATCTTCATAGACATTTTTCCTTCTTGAATGTTTTAGGAAAAGAGAGAGGGAGGGAGAGAGGGAGAGAGATTAATTGTTCTCACTGTCAGGAAATTTCTTCTTAGTTCTAGGTTGCTTCTCTCCTTGATTCGTTTCCATCCGTTGCTTCTTGCCCTGCCCTCAGGTGCTTTGGAGAATCGCTTGACTCCATTAGACTAGATATACCCAATTCCTGCAACTATTCTTCATATGTTTTATCCTCCAGGCCCCTCATCATCTTTGCTGCTCTTCTCTGCATCTTTCCAGAGTCACAACAACATCTTTTTTATATGGTGGTGACCAAAACTGGATGCAATATTCAATATTAAGTGTGGTTTTACGAAAGGAATTATAAAGTGATACTCTGAGTCCTCAGGTGCTTTTTAAAAGCAAATGTTTTGTGTTAGTCTTCAGATCAGCTCCATTGACAAGTATTAACAATAGAAGCAATATTTATATATGTCAGGTTTCGATGTCATCTCAAATAAATTGCACTCCCAAACAATTAATCTTTGCTGAAATATTCCATTTATTGAGTACGACAGATCTGGCCCCGACTTCGTCGTAGCCGATACTAACCCTCTGACCCCCAAACTCTTCCCTTTCCATTCCCCAATTCTCATCTTCTCATTGGCCATCTTCCAAGTCAGTCTCCCCAGCTTCTGACCTCACCCCACAGGAATGTTCCCCCCTCCCATCCCATCTCCTAGGGGATATTATCTACAGAGAAAATAAGTAGGTGAAAAGTCAAGCCTCGTCTTTTTATGGCAGCATCAGAATGCTGACAATGTAAATATCCCTGGATCCCAAATGAACTCCAAAACTGTAAGGGAAAGGGCACCACCGAGTGTGGCAATTGATGAAATAATCTGAAAGATCCTTCACGGCGCTGAAGGAACACCTTTGTTGTGATGGCACATGCTGATGGAGCAGAGGTGGAATTCACTTACCTTCCCTAACAGTTCACAAATGTGACCGCACGCACGCACTCGCTCGCTTTGCTCACACACCATTTGGCATTGTAGGAAGTTAGCACCCATCCCATTCCTGGGAAAATGAGATATTTTAGGAAATATCAAAAGGGTAGAATATTTCCCTTAAAAGGGAGGCAGAAATTCAGCCCCCCACCTTTGTCAATGGGCCATTAAGGCCTGAGCCAGTCCATTCTACATAACAAAGATCTACCTCCTTCAGGCAGAGCCATAGTAGGAATTGCCCAAAGCCCTTTCATGACATCATCATCGTGACCAGCGTGTGTGAAAAATGGTCAGGTCACTTTTTTTCAGTGTTGTTATAACTTTGGGTGGTCACTAAATGAACTGTTGCCAGTCCAGAACGACCTGTGTTCAGTTCAAAGATCAGCCAGTTAACTGAATCACCAAAATTAGGACAGAATTAAATTCCCATATTGCTAACGTATTCAGTATTGTAATGTTGGAAGAAACCTCCTTCTAGGTTCTGCTCCAAGTGGGGAAAACAGACACTGGAAACACGGAGACTGCTTGGAAAGATGGTTTAATGGTGGACAGGATCACATGGCTTGAGTTCCTGAACAGAAAAGGGGGCAGATACAGTAAATCCTCGCGTTTTTATGCTCTCTCTGGCTCTGCATTTCTTGGGGCCCCGAAAGAGTATCCTGATTGGTTGTCAGACTCCCAGGGGGTGGGGGCCTTGCTGTCTGATGGTCACATGTGCTTCCCAGGTCACATGTGGTGAGTTTCTGCTGCTATTGTGTAGAGGGCTAATCCTATCTTTGTTGGATCTTTGGCAATTCCTACTATGGCTCTGCCTGAAGGAGGTAGATCTTTGTTATGTAGAATAGACTGGCCCAGGCTTTAATGGCCCATTGACAAAGGGTGGGGGGCAAGAAAGTGGGAGCTGCTTCAAAACATGCTTATCCCAGGGAAATATAATATTCTGCCTTTTTCATATTTCCCAAAATATTTCACTCTTCTAGAAAAGGGGTGGGTGCTAACTTCCTACAGTAACCAATAGAATTTCCCCCAGTTGTGACACACAGGAAGGTAAGAAGTTCATCAAACAAGGCAGGAACTGAAGTGCGAGAAAAGAACAAGCCGTCCCCTCATATAATTTTCAGTTTTTATTATAGACTTTGTTTTAATCGACATGAATGTTAAAGAAACTACAACAGAGTTAAATACCTTTTGTTTGGTTTTGTTTTTTTTAGTCTGAGTGGTTATAATTTTTTTTTTTTTAATTACACTCAATCGTACATTGTAAAATATTTCCGGAAGGATTATCATCTTCATTTGTACAGCAAGCAAAGTATCAGGGGAAAACTTGGAAAAGGAAGAGAGAAGTTGTGAGCGCTCTTGTGTAATGCAGTCTCCTTCCAGAAAGAGCCGGATATGGCTAATGCATTTCCATCAATATGTCCAGGGATGACTCTTCCCCCATGTTCGTTTAGACCTCATTCTGTAGAAGGATCGTTCTGCCGAAGGAGAAGAGCTAACATCCCAAATGTGTTTCATAGCATTGGAATCGGAAGCACCATGAGATCCTATGCCCGTGGGTCAGTCTGGATGGCCACAGCCTTTCCACAGTTCCTATCACATTCCAGAGTCCTTCTAAAAATCACCGAACCAACCTTTGGTACCATCAAAAAAAATAAAAATAAAAATATCCAAGATGTCTTTCCAGTTGTTGTTGTTTTTTAAATATCCCTTTTGGTTCTTAAATTAATAAATGGCTGCTACTTTCTAATGTCTATGGTCGTCCATAAAGCTTTGAGTCGAGGCCATTTGTCATTAGAAGAGCCATTTTTATTTCTTCTGTATTGTTTTTCTGAAATGCCCAGAGTCCTTCCATTTTCAGTCTTTAGATACATCCAAACTCAGAGTGATGAGTAGTATCTTACAAGAGGGTCTTGTGGTCCTGCTAGAAAGACAGAGAAAAAGGAAACATCAGAAAGGTTTGAGCCCACTGAATGGATCTCACTATACAGCTAAAGTCCAGCTACATTACCCAACCTTGACTGGTCTTCGAAACTGAATACAGAATAACAGTGTTGGAAGAGATCTTGAAGGCCTTCTAATTTAACCCATGCTCAAGAAGGAGACTCTATGCCATGCTGGACAAATAGCTGTCCAATCTCTTCTCGAACACCTGTAGTGATGGAGCATCCACAACTTCTGAAGCAAGATGTTCCATTAATTAAATGTTCCCACTGTCAGGAAATTTATCCTTAGTTCTAGCTTGATTCTCTCCTTGATTAGTTTCCACCCATTGCTTCTTGTTCTGCCTTCGGGTGCTATGAAAAACAGGTTGACACCTCTTCTTTGTGACAGCCGTTCATAGATTGGGAGACTGCTATCATGTTACCCCTAGAATGTGGTACTGCAGGCTACTTTTGCTGCCTCCTGGCTGCTTGCAGTTCGGCGGTTTGATTTTCATCGGCTCAAGGTTGACTCAGCCTTCCATCCTTCCAAGGTCAGTAAAATGAAGACCCAGATTGATGGGGCCAATATGCTGACTCTGTAAACCACTTAGAGAGGGCTGTAAAGCACTGTGAAGTGGTATATAAATCTAGATACTACTACTACTACTACTACTACTACTACTACTACTACTACTACTATTATCTTTATCCATTAAATATGAAACTCAGTCAACTGAACATTCAAAAATACATCACAAATACCATTGACTGGTGCTAATGGTTGATACGGGTTGCTGCCAGCGTCCTAGGTATCAACCAAGTACCTTCTTAAGATGTACGATGTTCCAAGTAGCTCAGTTTTTTGCAGTTCCCCTGGTGTTATTGCAGGAAGCTGCAATTTGCTGATGTATTTTATAAAATTCTTGGACATGGTACCAAGTGCCCCGATGACAATGGGTATCACTGTTACATGTTTCATTCATTAATAAATAATAATAATAATAATAATAATAATAATAATAATAATAATAATTTATTATTATTATTACTATTATTACTATTATTACTATTATTTTTAACTATTACTAGATGCTGTTACTATTCTTGTTGTTAGACTAGTAACACTTCCTCCAACATTCTTCATATGTTTTAGCCTCCAGTCCCCTAATAATCTTTGTTGCTATTCTCTGCACTCTTTCTAGAGTCTCAAACATATTTTTTATATGGTGGTGACCAAAACTGGATGCAGTATTCCAAGTGGGATGATACACTAATATCAAGATAGTATTTAGACATGAGGCCACCAGAAGATCCTGTCGCCATAGATTAGGGAGGGGTTTAAGCAAAACTTGAGAAGGAGCAATGGCAACCTAATTCCATATTATAGCAATGAAAGATTCATGGATACGTCCAAGGTACATCATCAAGAGTCAAGTCTGACCTGACAAAATCTTTGTTTGGTCTAGCTAGTGCAGGGCTTTTTAAAAAAAAATCTCCAGGGACAGGATAGTGAGTGAATGACTTTCTTTGCTATTTGTTCTCAGCATTTCTGAGTCAGCAAAACAGAAAGTGACTGCAGGTCAAATTCAAATGTTTCTGGAGAGATTGAGGGCTGAAAATCGCAGCATTGTGACAGTGCCTTTAATTTCAGCTCTCGGGCAGAAGAGCGATGGGCTTCATCGTGATTGTTCAGCAGTGCCACTCAAAACAGTGAATTTATTCACCTAATTCCTCACTGTCCTAAACTGCAAGCAATAAGAGGGAAATACAGTCGTGTCAACATTTGAAGCAACTTTTTTTTTCTTGACTCTGCTTAAAACAAATCTTGCAGTATGTCAATGAAGACATATTTCAACAGTCAGGCCAAAAGTATTTAAAAAGGTTAAATCATGGCAACTGGACCAAAGTTTGTTAATCTGAGAAGTTTCATTACTCAGCCAAGTTAACTTCACCAGTCAAAATAAAAATATTAGGTAGAGAGTCAAATAACCAACTGCACAGGGTTCTCCCCAAAATGTATTTCAGTTTTACAACCACAATTGAGCCCAAAATTTCGGTTGCTCAGTGAGACATTTGTTACGTGAGTTTTGCCTCATTTTACGACCTTTCTTGACACAACTGTTAAATGAATTGCGAAATTCATATCATCAGAGAAGGACATATAGCAAAAACGTAATAGCCACACTGGTAGAAAATATTTGGGGCCCACCCGCTATTCGTGTAAGCTTACCTTTTAGCTTTTGCTAAGATGTGTGCCAAGTTTTTCTTTCCTGATCAAGCTTGCTGCATAGGGGATCTGAAAGAAAACAGAGAAATATCTCACTCAACAGCAATGAGTTAGTGAAGAAAGAAGAGATATCAAAGAAGGCACCTTAAAACCCAAAAATCTAAAAATCCTGGTAGGAATGCAATCGTATCTATTAGGAAGACCATAAGATGGATGTAGATAAGAATAAGGTGTACATATTTCACTTGAAATAAGTAAATATATAATAGAACAAAAGGGATGCTCCGGTAGAAAATGATCCTCTATTGAAGTAAAAACTGCAGGGGGCAAAATGCCATTGAATGCCTGGGTTACAATATTGTACTATGACTATGGGGTCGGCAACTTTACACCCTGTGGACTTCAACTCCGAGAATTCCTGACCCAGTCATGTTGAGTACCATGAATTCTGGGAGTTGAAGTCCACAGGGCGTAAAGGAGCCATAGATGCTCAACCCTGTAGTATAATATAGTACTTCAATCAAGTTTTAGTTTTTAGATGATTTTGAAGGGTATCAAGAACCTTTTCACACCAACATGTTTCATCTCCCCACCCTCACAAATCAGGTTAAAGATGACTTATACTTCTCTTTTCATCTGCCAGTCTCAAAGTTCAGATAACACACACTACCAGTTTCTCCACCTCAGTGAGTTTAAGGAGTGTGGACTTTAACTCCCAGAATTCCCCAGCCGGCCAGCTGGCTGGGGAATTCTGGGAGTTGAAGTCCATATCTGGGAGTTGAAATCCACATCATAAAAGCTACAAATACCATCCCACTCCACACTTCTTCTTTTTCTCCCTGTGCCATATCCATCATCGGATATTGGCGATCATTATTGGTGATCCTATTTTTATCAACAGCCGCACAAAAAAGTGCTGCTGAGTTTTGTCCAAACCAGTCCCTTAGATTTTGAAGTCATGATGTTCTTCTTCTGCCTGGGCCTTGTTTGCCTTCAATTTTGCCCTGAAGGATTAAGTGAAGCATGCCATATTTTTTTGGGTGTCACATCACATGTCTTAAATATTCTAACTTTCGCTTTTTAATGGTTTTGATGATTTCCCTTGGCTTTCCCAGGCAGTTTATCACCTCCTCATTTCTAATTTTGTCAACACATTTTATTCGTAACCCAGTTTATAGGTAACCCACTCCACACACACCACAGCAATTAAATCTAGGCTGCATGTCTCTGTATCGCCACTAGATGGCAGCAGCGCATCTGAGTTCCCAATTTTTGTTGCCCTCTACTGTAAGGTTTGGATTTCTGCAGCCGCGTTGTGATACGTTCTGCTAGCTCGGAGAGGAAATAAAATAAATTGCAATCACTCTTCCACCTTTTTACAACCAACTGATTTTGTCCCTACACTCTGCCTAACTGGTTTAATGAGGGGGTTAATGTGCTGGGAGAACCCTGATAGGATCAGCTGGCCCAATCAATTAATTCTCAGGATGTTGTTGCACTCAGCCCCAAACAGGCTCAGTCATGCACGGGGGTTAAGCTAACGTAACCAGTGGGAATGTTGCAGAGATGGCCGGGTTCTGTGCATGGCTCTCTTCATTGAAAAAGCAAATATATGCGCAATGACTACAAAGGGTCATTGCACAAAGCACCGCTCCAACACGGCAACCCTTTGTTGGGAGAATAAAAACATGACAAGCCCCATCTGTGCTTGCTTGAACTCCTAGGGATACAGCAACCTACGCAGGCAGGAATAAAACACAATGCTCTCTTAGTGGAGATGGCGAAGGCCTAACGTACAGCAGTGGGCAAGAAGACTTTCTGTTGACGTGCTTTCTCACAATCTGTGCTCACATCATTATTTGCAGCCCCAGCTCACAGGTGCTGGCTCTCCGTTGGCAAGGGAAGAGCAGTCAAGGAGAAAGGCCCTATGACCCATTTCCCATTCATCTACAAAAGGTCAATGTTTTGGGATATCAATGAGAGCCAGTTTAGTCTAGTGATTAGTGCACCAAGCTAGAAACTAGAAGACTGGGAGTTCTAGTCCCATTTGGCAGGAAAACTGGCAGGGTGACTTTGGGCCAATCATCAGGAGACAGTGAGTACTAGTCCCGCCTTAGGCACGAAACTTGGCAAGGTGACTTTGGAGCCCATCATCAGGAGATGGTGAGTTCTAGACCCATTTTAGGCATGAAAGTTGGCAAGGTAATTTTGGCCAATCACCAAGAGACAGTGAGTTCTAGTCCCACTTTAGGCATGAAAGTTGGCAAGTGACTTTGAGCCAATCATCAGGAGATATGAGTACTAGTCCCGCCTTAGGCACGAAACTTGGCAAGGTGACTTTGGGCCAATTATCAGGAGATGGTGAGTTCTAGTCCCACCATAGGCATGAAACTTGGCAAGGTGACTTTGGGCCAATCACCAGGAGACAGTGAGTTCTAGTCCCACCCTAGGCATGAAAACCATCTGGCTGACTTTGGGCCAGTCACTCTCTCTCAGCCAACCCACCTCACAGGGGTGTTGTTGCTGTGGGGAAAATAGGAGGAGGAAAGAGTAGTCGGTATGTTTGCCGCCTTGAGTTATTTATAAAATAATAAAGGTGGGATAAAAATCAAATAAATAAATAAAACCAAGGCGGTCAATCCACCAGAAACAAGAAGGTTCTTTACAAATCCACCAATGGAGAAAAACTGAAAAAGACCCCTCCTGATTGAGGTTTATTGTAACTGCAGGTACTAATGGCTTTCCCTGCTGAGTTGCTGGGGGGTGGGTGGGTGCAGTAATAAAAGAAAGCAGCAGAGGGCACTGGGAGACTGGGTTGCCTTAAAAAGCCTATTCTAGTTTGAAACCCTTCCATCACCTTGGCAAGAAAAGTACATGGATATGTGAGTGTGCAGTCAAGCTCCTCTTAAAGGCAATTTTGTCTTGTTAGGTTTTTGTGGGCATTCATAGAACGCCACAGAAACCGAAGAAAGTTGGTGGGGCAGGAGGCAGGGGTGCTATTCAGCAGGTTCTGGAGAACCGGTAGCAGAAATTTTGAGTAGTTCGGAGAACCAGCAAATACCACCTCTGGCTGGCCCCAAAGTGGGGTGGGAGTGGAGATTTTGCAATATCCTCCCCCCAGGAGTGGGGAGGGAATGGGGATTTTGCAGTATCCTTCCCCTGGAGTGGGGTGGGATTGGAGATTTTGCAGTATCCTTCCCCTGCCACGCCCACCAAGCCACGCCCACAGAACCAGTAGTAAACAAAATTGGATTCCACCACTGGCAGGAGGCATCTCCCATGGCTGGCCAAACGGATCTACTTCTCATATGTTTGATGACTAAGAAAAAGCCCAGCTGGTTTCTGGATTTTTGACAGTAAGCTGGCCAAACCATCAGCCGAACTCTTCTTGGGAGTAACATTTATTTATCTTGGATTTTTTTAAAAAATCCCACCATGATTACTTTTATAGGTAACTCAGGGTGGCGAACATACCTAATACTCCTTCCTTCTCCTATTTTGTCCACAACAACAACAATCCTGCGAGGTGGGCTGGGCTGAGAGAGAGAAGTCACCCAGCCAGCTTTCATGCCTAAGGTTGGACTAGAACTCACCCTCTCCTGGTAATTGGCCCAAAGTCACCCAGATGGCTTTCATGCCTAAGGTGGGACTAGAACTCACTGTCTCCAGGTTTTTAGCCTGCTGCTTTAATCACTAGACTGAACTAGCTCTACCTTGATTCATGAAAGGAAGAGCGATGGAATGTTTGACTAGTTTCCAGGATTTTCGGGCAGTTTCTGCAAAAAATCTCCATAGGAATGAATGGACTTGCTTTGTGATTGCCATGTTCGCTTTACGACTGCCTCATTTGCTTAATGACCACCACAAAAAAAAGGTCATAAAATTGGATTGGTTAAGTGAGTCACCATGACATAAGATGGAAATTGTGGACCTCATTAAGGTCATAGGTTGAGGGCTAAATATAGTGGTTACAGCACCAAGATAGCTCCCAGCATTGGGAGACAGTGAGTTCTAGTCCCACTTTATGCATGAAGCCAGCTGGATGACTTTAGGCCAATCCCTCTTTCCCTAAAAAGCAGGCAATGGCAAACTACTTCTGACAAGATGGACAAGAAAAATTGCAGGCAGTTGCGGAGAGTCAAGACTGTCTCAAAGACAGAAAATAATTAAAGAAGCCCTAATGCTCTGCATGAAAAGAAAATCCCAAACTCCTTTGTTCCAGCCAAGGCAAATATTCATAGACATCTGTGCTAAGCTATCAGATGAGTGCATTTTTAATCCAAAGCCACTCAGCAGAGGAGAATCTTACAATTTGTAATTGTTGAACCATTTCTTCTCTGTAGGCCAACTCCCGCTTCATCTGATCTTGAAAATTATCTGTGCAAAAAGGGGGAAAAAAGGACAAAAAAAGAGAAAAAGTACATGAATAATTTTCTTGTTAGACACTGCTAATTCAATTTCCCCCCCTAAAAGCCGCAGTTTGTTATTCTCTGGTAATTTTGTACTGGAAAAAAAATTGGTTACTGAAAAAAAAGAGCAGACCTGGATGTGCAGAGTTGTTAGATCATAGGAAGTCTGTTAAATGAAATGAAGTATTTAAGCAATTATCCTCAGTCTGTATACAGATGGTCCTCAGTTAATGACGGTAATTGGGAGTGGAATTTCTATCACTAAAGAAGTATGGCTATAAAGCGTGATGTCACATGACTGCATTGCTTAGCAGTGGCAATCCAAGCTCTCCCCATTACCATTATTAAGCGAGAATCATGGTTCCTTAAACAAAGGCCCTCCTTGCAACTTTCTGCCAGCTTCTAACGAGCAAAGTCACTGGGGAAGCCGGCAGGAAGTTGTAAGTCACAGTGGGTTCACAAGCTGATCCACAGGGAGTTAAGTAACTGCTGCTGGGAAGATGCACAGGTGGCTGCAGATGCATGGTGAGCGAGTTTGGGCCTGGGGTGGTTGTTACCATGTGGGGGAGACTTACTTGAGTGACTTGCAACATTCCCTGCTGGCTTCCCCATTGATTTTGCTTGTCGGAAGCTGGGAGGATAGATCGCAAATGCCAATCACAAGATCAAGGGAAGCTGCAACCATTGTTAAGTGCCAATAATGTGGATCATGATCATGTGAACACAGGGGTGCTGCAATGGTTGCACATTTGCGGACCAGTTGTAAGTCCCACTTGTTCAGCACCACTACAATTTTGAATGGGCGCTGAAGAAGTAAGCGAGGACTACCTGTTTTATATTTGCAGTATTGTACTATCAGTTGAGAGTAACAGGAATTATAATTCCATCTCTCAGAGCCATCACATGTAAAGTTACCAAATGTGGACTTCAAAATTCAAGTTGATTATGATATATCATTCTAGCTGTGTTCTGGTAGTTATCCAGATGTTTGCAGCTGATTTGGTAGCCTAACATTTTTTAAAATCTGCTTTTCATGGATCTTACATTATAAATACAATTTGATAATCCCATATCAACCCAGAGTTCTCTCTCAAGCATAAACAGCCAGGCTCAAACCGTCCCAAAGGTACTTTTCCAAAAGGCAACTTGACTTTGTTTTTCCTTGAAGATGTTTCGCTTCTCATCCAAGAGGCTTCCTTCAGTTCTGAAGAACAGTTCTGAAGAACTGAAGAAGCTTCTTGGATGAGAAGCAAAATGTCTTCAAGGAAAAACAAAGTCCCAGATGCTTTTTGGAAAAGCACCTTTAGGACAACCATGACTTGGATGACTGAGAATCTCAGACATTTAGCCAGGCTCAAATTATCCTACTTTGTACACATTATGTGAAGACCTAGTTATCTAGAGAAGGCTCTCCTGCTAGGAAAGGTGGAAGGAAGAAGAAGAAGAGGAGGAAGTGGATGAACTCAATTACAGAAGTGATAAACGCACCATTGGAAGACTTGAAGGAATAGGTTTTAAGGATAAATCTTTATGGAGACGAACTATCTATGTGATTGCTAGAAGTCGGCGCCCTGATGGTACGTACAGGTAGTCCTTGAGATACACCCAATTGTTTAATGACCGTTCACAGTTACAAAAAGTAACTTATGACCAGTTTTCACACTTATGACTGTTGCAACAGCCTCACAGTTATCTTATCAAAATGTGGGTGTTTGGGAACCACCATGCATTTATGTCAGGGAATCACACAGCAGGTATCCAAATGAAGTTAGAGATTTGTAGTTTTATATAAAGAAATATATTTTATATCAAACTACCCTGCTTCCCCGAAAATAAGACATCCCCTTATAATAAGCCCAATTGGGGTTTTGAGTGCATGCGCTAAAATAAGCCTCCCCCTGAAAATAAGCCCTCCCTGAAAATATTTAAATGCTCAGGTAAGATGGCAACAGGAGACCCATCTTGCTCCACCCGTCCCAAAGTAATAAGACCTCCCTGAAAAGAAGGCCAAGTGCTTATTTCGGGGTTAAAAAAAAAAAGTAAGACAGGGTCTTATTTTCGGGGAAATGCGGTAGATAGTCAGGCAAACAGGAGCGTCATGAGGTAAATCTCAGAGCCCACAGAGGACACAGAAGAAAAAGGCGGGAAAAAAGGGAACGTCCCCCTCCACATCCATAGCAACCAATCACAGTGCGGATTGCCTCACGCAGGAGCCAGCCCTCTCCAGTCAATCAACTATAACTGTGTGTTCTGGCTCATTGTACACAGCTCCAGCTACTAAATTTTAAAATCTTAACAATTTACAATGGTTATATAGCATCCCAGGGTTTTGGGATTGTCATTTGCAACCTTCCTAGGGAGCTTCTGACAAGCAAAGTCAAATGGGGGGAAGCCAGATTTGCTTAACGACCACTCGATTCACTTAACAACTGCAGTGATTCACTTAACAACCATGGCAAAAAAAAAGGTGTAAAATCAGGCCTGCCTCATTTAATAACCTCCGTGCTTAGCAAAGAAACTTCTTTTTTTAAAATATATAAATTGATTGTTCTGTCATAGAGAATAAAATACAGAACAAACCAACCAAATGAAGCAAAACAAAAACATACATCCAACCCTAACAACAACAAAAATAGTGTACAAAAAAGAAGGAAAAAATGGTCAATTAAATTTGACATCTAAATATGTAGGATCCACCTTGGCTGAGTGCTGAAAGAAGAGAAAAAGCAATAAATTCTTCTCCTATTTTACATATATATTACATATATTTCTTCCCATTTTACATCTATCTATCTATCTATCTATCTATCTATCTATCTATCTATCTATCTATGATCTATCTATCTATCTATCTATCTATCTATCTATCTATCTATGATCTATCTATCTATGATCAATCTATCTACTATCTATCTATCTATCTATCTATCTATCTATCTATCTATCTATCTATCTATCTATGTATCTATCTATGATCAAACGGTGATTGATCTATTTATGATCGCTATCTATGACCTCTATCTATCTATCTATCTATCTGTCTGTCTGTCTGTCTGTCCGTCCGTCCGTCCGTCCGTCCGTCCGTCCGTCCATCCATCCATCCATCCATCCATCTATCTATCTATCTATCTATCTGTCTATCTATCTATCTATCTAAATCTAAAAATGAATTATGAATTCCCGGGATGAACTCAACAGGCTGAGGTGTTTTGGTCATGTAGAGAGAATTAAGGTTGAATTGTACCACCGTTACATGAAGGAAGAGTGAAAGAGTTGAGAGGAAGAGGGAGAAAAATCACACTAAGATGAGGTTGAGGAGATCCTCAGAAACGGAAAAATGAGAACATTAAAGGACAAAATGCCACGCATGAAGTGGTAGATCGGGGGTGTCCAACTTTAAGCCAACTTAAAGGCTTGTGAACTTCAACTCCCAGAATTCCCCAGCCAGCCATGTTGGCTGGGGAATTCTGGTTGCTGAAGTCCACAAGCCTTTAAATTACCAAGGCTGGACCATCCCTATGATAGATGAATCTAGAGCCAGGATGATTTGCAAGAATACCGTGTTTCCCCAAAAATAAGACCCTGTTTTTTTGAACCCTGAAATAAGCGCTTGGACTTATTGCCATGTGCTCAAAATCCTGATTGGGCTTATTATCAGGGGATGTCTTATTTTGGGAAACAGGGTAGATAGCTACCGAGAAATACAATGAATGCTCTTGTCTGTGTGTGTGTGTGTGTGTATGAAAAAAGTTTTATTTTTTGTTTCATGTCTTATCTTTCTTTGACTTTGTCTTCTTTTCTGCACTATGCATCACATTCCTTTCCCAGGAAGGAGACCATATGACGGGCATGTATGTGTATACAACCATCTCTATAAAGTTCTGATATACTGTGGTCAAAGTGGTTAATATGCATTACTCGTCCTAACCTTTACAACAACCTTGTGTATCTTGCCTTTTTTTAAAAAAATGTCTCTTTGGGTTGACCTGTGTAGTGCACTGTCTCTTTAAGGCTCTTGACTCAGCAAATGGGAGCCTATAAATTAGCTCCTTGGCTTTTTTTCAGATGATCCATTGTCCTCTGCTTTCTTTGTGTCCTTGGGTTTCTGATAATAAATGTTTCCTCCCTCGACAACAATGAAAAAGCTTTGGGAGGTGTTTTGTATCTGCTTAGCTCTTCCAGATTAACCAGTGGGAGATCCTGGTTGGATTTCTCTTACTTTGGCAGAGATTGAGCACCGTGACTTTGTGACAATGGGGTGGGCAACAGAGCTTGGGAGCTAGGGAGAAGATGCTTCTAATCAACAACAAAACAAGAACATGGAAGAGAAACTCTTCCAAAAAGATGTTGAGACTCTGGAAAGAGTGCAGAGAAGAGCAACAAAAATTATTAGAGGACTGGAGGTTAAAACATATGAAGAACGGTTGCTGGAACTGGGTATGTCTAGTTGGATGAAAAGAAGGACTAGGGGAGACATGATAGCAGTCTTCCAATATCTCAGGAGCTGCCACAAAGAAGAGGGAGTCAGACTATTCTCCAAAGTACTTGAAGGCAGGACGAGAAGCAATGGATGGAAATTAATCAAGGAAAGAAGCAACCTGGAATTAAGGAGAAATTTCCTGACAGTGAGAACAACTAATCAGTGGAACAACTTGCCTCCAGAAGTTGTGGGTGCTCCAACGCTGAAGGTTTTAAGAAGAGGTTGGACAGCCATTTGTCTGAAATGGTATAGGGCCGTGATGGAGAACCTATGGCACGCGTGTCACAGGTGGCATGCAGAGCCATATTGGTGGGCACACAAGAGTTGCCCTAGCTCAGCTCCAGCATGCTTGCATGCACTGGCCAGCTGATTTTTGGGCCTTCTGGGCCCAACGGAAGTCGGCAAACAGGCTGTTTCCAGCCTACGGAGGGCCTCCGGGGAGGTGGGGAAGGCTGTTTTTGCCCTCCCAAGGCTCCTAGAAAGCCTCTGGAGCCTGGGGAGGGCAAAAAATGGGCCTACTGGGCCCACCGTGCCATCACATGCCAAAAGCGGGGGGAACATGGGGGGGTCGCAGACGCATGCGTGGGGGGGGGCAGGGCACATAGAATTATGGGTGTGGGTATGCACGCGCGCAACCAGCCCGCACTCCCCCAGATTTGGCACACGATGTTAAAAAGGTTAGCCATCGCTGGTATAGGGCTTCCTGCTTTAACAGGGGGTTAGACTAGAGGATCTCCAAGGTCCCTTCCAACTCTGTTATTCTTGGTTGGAGGTTCCGGTAATATCAAATAGGATGTTTTAATACTCTGAACAATCTACTTTCCTAAGGGATTATGGTTTGTCACACAGTCAGCTAGAGGTTTAGACCAGATCTGGCATTTTTATCTACCTATCGAATCCTCCCCAAGAATCTGAGACAGGAAAATATGTATCTTTGATGGTATTAAAGGTATTGTTGGAGGATGTAAGCTGTTCCAAGTAAAACTGCCTTTTAAAATTGACCAATGATGATTTTTTTCAATGCCAATGTTGTTCAAGTGCTGTTCCAGGTGTTTTGGGATGGCACCCAAGGCACCTATCGCTATTGGTACTATCTTTGCTTTCTTTTGCCCCAGTTGTTCTACTTCTATTTGCAGATCTTTGTATTTTGATTTTCTCCAGTTCAGATTCACTACCATATTATTATCCCTGTTATTATAGGGATAGCGTGTTTGAGTATATCCCTTTTTGAAATAATACAAACATTTTAAAGTTCAATTCATTCAGAATAGAGCTGGAAGGGACCTTGGAGGTCTTCTAGTCCAACCCCCTGCTCAGGCAAGAGACTCTACACCATTTCAGACAAGTGGCTATTCAATCTCTTCTTTAAAACCTCCCGTGATGAAGCACCCACAACTGCTGAAGGGAAGCTCTTCCACTGGTTAATTGTTCTCATTGTTCGGAAGTTTCTCCTTACTTCCAGGTTGCTTCTCTCCTCGATTAGTTTCCATCCATTGTTTCTTGCCTTTCCTTCTGGTGCTTTAGAAATGTTCTGTCTCCGTCCCCACACACACACAAACAGCCAGCTGGGGGTTAAAGAAGTACTCGGCACACACAAGGTTCGTTATCAGGAACTTGGCAGCAATACGATAACCGTCTGCCAAGTGCTTTACTACAAGAGAGGGAGAGTTCCTCCACCAGATAACACCAACGAATACACACAGTTTTCAAAACAGTCCAGCTCAAACATGAAACCTTCAGCAGATTAGGCATTGTACAAAGTGACTAGCCAGAAGTTAGCTTTGTCCGTCACAGAGTCTAAATGGCCACCACACTCTCTTATATAGCCTGTGGGGTGTGGTCCAGTGACTCAGCTTAATCCCTGGCACGCCTCCTCATCTGCTGCAAACGTTTATCTCGCCTTCGTTGGCGTGGATCCAGGAACGATTTATCACCCTCATCGCTGTCACCTGGCTCCTGGTCAATCTCCTCTCCCTTGGCAGACACCTGAGGCATTGCCAGAGAGGAGGGGCCTGGAGAGGGAGGCCTGGCCGGCTCCTCTCCTTCATGTTCGGAGCCTTCTCCCTCCGATAAGATGGGCTCAGGGGTCGGAGCCACAACAAGAAAATAAGTTGACCCCTTCTTCTTTGTGGCAGCCCCTCAAATACTGCAATACTGCTATCATGTCACCCCTAGTCCTTCTTTTCTCTAGACTAGCCATACCCAATTCCTGCAACCGTTCTTCCTATATTTTAGCCTCCAAGGCCTTTATAATCATCTTAGTTGCCCTTCTCTTCACTTCTTCCAAACATCTCAACATCTTTTTTTGTAATGTGGTGACCAAAACTGGATGTAGTATTCCAGGTGCTGCCTTACTAAGGTTTTTATAACGCAGGACTAGTACTTCACGTGATTTCACATGATTTGTGCCAATGCTCCTAGAAATGTGACCTGCAGTACTCAAAATGGTTAGTTTAGATCTATGTCTGATGATCTAAGATCTATATCTGATCATCCCTTTATTGGTCACGTTGGCTGGGGGAGTTTTGGATGTTGCAGTTCAGTGCATTATCTCAAGTTAAACGAATTAAAAGAGATAAAACCTTACTGAAAACTGGGAATGACGTGGTTCCTTTGAGCACTTGGAATTCCTGTTCAAGCCTCCTGCGCCAATCGATCTGTTCAAACAAGACCTTCTGAAGCTCTTCTAAACCAAAGAGGAAAAAGAAAAAAGAAAAAAAATTTTTTTTTGTGAGCATACGGACTCTTAAGACCGAACGTTCACAATTACAAAAGGAAAAAAAAATATTTTTGGCATTTTAAGGGTGGCTGCAGCATGCCGTGAGCAGCTTTGGATAGATTTTGTGCAGAAATCCATGAATACAAATCAATGCAATATATTATTTTAAAGTATTATAGCCCAGTGTCGTGTATTGATTGATACATATGCATTAATCTCAATTATAGCCACACAAAAGGTCCATATATTATTCATATGTTGCTTGTCAAGCTTAAAATATGGTTGGGAGTAAAAACATATATTACCCCTAATTGTCTTGATATTCCGCTAAAACAAAAGTCAGCCTCTAGTAAGAGATTTGCATCTATTTATCTTTATAACCCCCCCCCCCACCTTTTTTACCTTTTCCCATGTTTTCCATGTCCTTTTTCAGAGAATGGGGTGCGCTGGGTTCTTGGATGGGATCACCTGAATGAAAAGAGAATTATTACTATAAAGGAAATATTGAGTCTGTCATTTGCACCTCTATAAATGTTTGGCTTGGCACAGCAACCAAATAGGACAGACACCGACTTTTAACGGAGCATTAGAACTGCAGAAAAAAAACACAATTGCAAACAGCCTGCCTTCCATTGAGGATCTGTACACGACATGAACCAGAAAAAGGGCTGAGAAAATATCTACAGACGCCTCATATCTTGGACATAAACTGTTTCAACTTCTCCCCTCAGGATGCTGCTATAGGGCATTGCATGCCAAAACAATTAGACCCAAAGTTCATTTTTTCCCCTCTCGTGCCATCACTCTGCTAAATACTGTACCTAATTCCCACAGCACTGTCTTAGACCTAAAGTTATTTACCCATGTAGTAGGCTGTATTGCTATTATCCTTCTTATCTTCTCAACTTTCCTACTACCTTCTCCTATTGGTATCTTATGATTTATCACTTGTTGTATCTTAAGATCATGTAGCTATGATCTGTTTGTGTGTACACTAAGAGCTTGTGTACCAGAGACAAATTCCTTGTATCTCCAATCACTCTTGGCCAATAAAGAATTCTATTCTATTCTGTTCTGTTCTGTTCTGTTCTGTTCTGTTCTGTTCTGTTCTGTTCTGTTCTGTTCTATTCTATTCTATTCTATTCTATTCTATTCTATTCTATTCTATTCTTTCATCCCATCCCATCCCATCCCATCCCATCCCATCCCATCCCATCCCATCCTTATTGATTTGCACCATCCACCAGGCTACGTTTGATCAAGTAAAGTGTTTACGGTAGTGTCCTTGAAAAGAGTTCAAAACAATTAAGACAGTGGCTAAATTTTGATCATGTAATTGTGACCATCAGCTTAAATTTTCTGACCTTTTTCTCCCAATCTATCATATTGCATCCTTGCGAAATAGCAAAACATGCTGAGAAATGTTCCTGTTTAAGCCAACTCTGTATGACTCCAGAGGGCAACATGTCAATCATGCATTTTTTTTGCAGAATCCACCTTAAGTGACAAAGATATCCACAGGGGGATTTCAAAATGACCACGATGGCAGCAAGGATAGGCAAATGATTTGCACCCTCCAAAGAGAAACCAAAATATTCTTCGGTGAAATCTCAGGAAAAAAAATCAACAAGAAATATAACAATTTAATGAAATCTACGCTTGTAGCAACAAAAATAAATTTTGCTGAACCTCAGAAGAAAGATTCTATTAATATCGGACGGGGAGCCTAAACTTGAAGAACAGACAACAACGCAAAAACTAACAGTATGACTGCACGATAGAAATTTTAACTTAAAATGTAAGCAAGAATGGTTTACTCTTCATACAATAACATCACACAGCAGGGCAAATACAATCCCAATCAAAGTTCTAATGGTTAGGCTTAAATGTCTAAAATAGGGCAAATTAGTAGTTTGGCAAATTATGTTAGAAACCGAATAATTCCTTTTCTTTTTTCCTTTGTAGCTATTTTGGGTATTTTAATTTTTGCTAAATATAATTTACTGAACTATTTTTCCCATTTTATTAAGAGATCATAGATAGGTACGTATAGATAGATAGATGATAGATAGATAGATGATAGATGATAGCAGTGGTGAAATCCAATTTTTTACTACTGGTTCTGTGGGCGTGGCTTGGTGGGCATGGTGTGGCTTGGTGGGCATGGCAGGGGAAGGATACTGCAAAATCTCCATTCCCACCCCACTCTGGTGCCAGCCAGAGATGGTATTTGCAGGTTCTCCGAATTGCTCAAAATTTCCGCTACCGGTTCTCCAAAAGCTGTCAGAACCTGCTGGATTTCACCCCTGATAGATAGATAGATAGATAGATAGATAGATAGATAGATAGGTAGATAGATAGATAGATAGATAGCTTGATAGATATCTGTCTGATCTATTTCTCTCATCTCTTTGTCACTGTCTGTCTGTCTCTCTATCTGTCTATCTCTATCATCTCTCTCCTATCATCTGTCCGTCCATTCGTCTAGCTGTCTATTATGATATAGAGACTTTATTCTAAACAATCAGCTCAAGACTGAAACCTAGTTTGATATAATCTGCAGCAGTTTCTTCTTTCTAATATTATAATATTGTATCCTATTGGATACACGACAGATAGTCCTTAACGTATGACCACAATTGCAACCAGAATTTCTGTTGCTCAGCAAAATGGTTGTTAAATGAGTTGTGGCCAATTTCACATCTTTTTGCCAAGGTTCTTAAGCAAATCCCTGCAGTTATTAAGTGAATAATGTGGTCATTAAACATATCTGGCTTCCCCCATTGATTTTGCTGATCGGATGTTGGCTGGGAAGACCACCAATTGCAATAATTTATCCTGGTTTGCTGTAACCGTTGTAAATACTTGCCAGTTGCCCAGCAGCCAAATTTTGAGGGATGCTGGGATGGTCATAAGGATGAGGACTGGTTCTATACCTTTTTTCAGTGCTGTTGTAACGTTGAATAATCACTGAATGAATGGTTGTAAGTCAAGGACTTCTGGTAGATGTAAGCAGACTGTTTAATACCATACCATATGCTACTATTAATGCTAGAGTCTTTTTTAATTAATTAAATTAGTGGATTAATCCATTAGAGCCTGAATAACTGAGGAAAGTCAATGTTAGTTACTGTTGCTGTGAGTCATAAACATATTTTAGCTCATCAAGAGAAGCTATCTCTAATGTGTTACTAATATAAACAAAAGGAAATGATCAACAATTACTCTGTATTGCTCTCTCTCTCTCTTTTAATAACATATGTCTGTTCTGTTTATTAAATTCTAAAATTATCTTACGTTTCCATCACTTCATGGTACGAAATGGCACTCCTCTTGAAGTTTGGTAACATACTGTATATTTAAATATAATTGATGGAGTAATTAAAAGGAAGATGCTTAATCAACTGGAAGTTGTTAATGGATTGGCAGCTCATATTTCAATGAATACGAAAGATATGAAATTTCCTTCCTGTCTCCCAGAGCCTCAATTAACATCTTCTTTCTTTCAGGTGGAAAATTTACACAAGGGGTTAGAAGAACCACATGTCAAAGGATAACTGTGGAGAAAAATACGACTATCTAATTTTTGAAGCAGCAAGGAACTGTCTATCACACCAAACAATAATCGGTCCGAGGTACCTTCTCCAAAAATTTGCCTTTGGTTGAATGTAAAGTTACTTCTCCACATGCAGCCATTTGTTCAGGGACCGTTCAAAGTTATAATGGCACTGAAAAAGGTGTCTTACGACCATTTTCCCACTTATGACCGTTGCAGCATCCCTATGGTCATGTCATAAAAGCCATTAGCAAGTGGCTCATATATATGACGATTGCAGTGTCCCAGGGTTATGTGTTCACCTTTTGTGACCTTCTGACAAGTCAAAAGATTCACTCAACTGTCAACAACTGTCAACAACTTAACAACTATCCTAAAAGTGCAATGATTCATTTAACAATGGTGCCAAGAAAGGTTGTAAAATGGGACAAAACCCACTTATCAACTATCTTCCTTAGCAACATAAATTTTGAGCTCAATTGTGGTTATAAGTTGAGGACATATACCTGTATTGTAGTCTAATATAAATACTGTGTTGTTATGGCTACTACCAGATGTTCTCAACCAGGTCCTACCAGTCCAGGGACCAGTGTTTCTCAATCTTGGCAACTTTAAGACGGGTAGACTTCAACTCCCAGAATTCCACAGCCAGCCATGGAATTCTGGGAGTTAAAGTCCACCCGTCTGAAAGTTGCCAAAGTTAAGAAAGACTGAGTGGAACTGATTCCAAATTCCAATTATCCCTTGGTGGTGATAGCTAGGAATTCTGGGACCTGCAGCCGTAAGAAATCCAGTGCTTGCTCCTAGGAATAGAAAAATTAATGGTGAAAAAGGGTAGGGAATGTCATAAAGAAATACATTTACTTAGTGTTATTTAAGATATGTAAAAGGAGGACCATAGCTATAGGGCTTACTATAATGTTGCAAAGGGCTGAAAAATTCAGTGTCCTTTCCTAAGTCATAAAGTACATACTATCTGTTTTCCACTCCATTAATGTGGAGTCTATTGTCATGTGAGCTCATACTGTACCGGTATTAGATACGTAAAGCAACATTTAAGATTTTGAATTCTACCAAATCAGATTTATTGGTCACACAATTCCTCATGTTGCATACTCCATGTTTCTTCAGTCTTATGGTCTCCGGAAATATTGGGACTGCCAGTTTTTCAAGCCAACATGACTAAAAACTAGGAATAGCAATAGCACTTATTTATTATTTATTTATTTATTTATTTATTTATTGGTTTGATTTATATGCTGCCCTTCTCCAGAGACTCAGGGCGGCTTACAATGCATTAAGCAATAGCCTTCATACTTTTTGTATATACCTGCTTAGTAGGGCTTTCGCCCCCCCCCCAGCGGTGTTCTTTTTTTATACAAAGTCAGCTTATTGCCCCCAGAAACCAGGTCCTCATTTTACCTACCTCGGAAGGATGGAAGGCTGAGTCAACCTTGAGCCTGGTGAGATTTGAACTTGCAGTAATTGCAGGCAGCTGGTGCTACTTAACAGCACTTTAGTCTGCTGCGCCACCACTTAGACTTATATATCGCTTTACAGTGCTTTACAGGCCTCTCTAAGCGGTTTTTACAGAGTCAGCATATTGCCCCCAACAATTTGGGTCCTCATTTTACCTACCTCAGAAGGATGGAAGGCCTGGTGGGATTTGAACTGCCAAATTGCAGGCAGCCGGCAGTCAGCAGAAGTAGCCTGCAGTACTGCATTCTAACCACTGCGCCACCGAGGTTCCAATAAGGATTTAAAATCTGAGCCGCAAAAAGATACACAACCACTAGGTGGCAGCAAATAATTACAGTAAGGGTTTTGTGTATTTGGGCTGCCATCTAGCAGCCATAAGATACTTGTAGCCCAGATCGGATAGCCCTGTAGCGAGAGTGTTCAGGTGATACAG